TCCCAAGCTGGCTTCACAATGAGGCCCAGGCAGGGTCTGAACCAGAGTGCGGCAGGCTCTGAAGCTGAACTCTGACCTCCACAATCCATTATTTTCTCAGATACCAGCATCCAAATAAAAGCAAAAACAATCCCTATTCACTCTTGCTGAATTTCTAGTGCTGTACAAATTGCTTTTCATTGATTTTCATCGCAAATAAATAGCATTTTTGCCTATACTTAACTTGGTTTAAAAAGCATTTATAAGTATGGGACTTGGAGATCTAACCATATCTTATTAACACCGTTTCTATTGGAACAGATAGTCCAAGCACCAAGGAGCTATTTGCATTTAGGTTTCAAAGCCCAGCACATCTGTAAACAAAGGGTTTCCTGTGTAGTTAAGCAGCTACGTATGTTCACCAGTGGATTCAATGCAGTTTTAACCAATTGTAGGCTGAGAACAGTGTTCTCATCCCTAGAAATTTAACCCAATAATATACATTTCTTTTGTCTTGTGTTATTAAATTTACCCTCTGGCATTAAATAAAAACACCTCAAGTTTACTTGTTTCTATTAAGCGATATTAAATAAGGTTCAAAATAACAATAGGAGAAATTTAACTTAATAGCTGTAACATCAAGGTTAAATTACACGTCTAGGCAGATGATTTAAAATGTCCAGTTAAAACACATAAGACCTGATGACAAGAACTGGGCTCGGTAAGCTCATACGTAAACACGTGACAAGGCCAAACCGCAGCCTTCCTTTATACCGCCAGAGCCAGCCCAACTACCAGTCTTGGACAATACGCCTAAGGGTCGCCTATTTCAAACACCTGAAGGCCTTGGTGGTTAAAAAGGCTTAACTCAGTGGTCCTGTGGTGTACTCTCCAAGAGCTGAACAAAAGGAGGGCCCCCTGTTTCCTAATCTGAAGCTGGATTAGGAAAGAAAACACCAAAATTATGCATCTTAAGATTTTTAATTTAACATGGGTGTCCAACCTGTGGCCCGTAGGCCACATGTGGCCCAAGATGGGTATGAATGCAGTCCAACACAAAATCATAAATTTACTTAAAACATTATAAGTTTTTTTTTGTGTGTGATTATGTGCCGCAATGCATTTAACGTGTGGCCCAAGAAAACTCTTCTTCCAGTGTGGCCCAGAGACATCAAAAGGTTGGACATCCCTGTTTAAAACAAAGTGGTACAACTGAGTCAAAAAAGTAAGCCTGCCTTTTAGAACAGGAAACCTCAAAGGTGAACAATGATGTCCCCATCACAAACCAGTTGGTGATTTAAAAAAAAAAAAAAAAGGCAGACACAGTGCCTGTATAAAAATGGTTGAACTTTTTAGAAGGTTTAAAGCACTCTAACATAGCCATGCTTGAAGTTTTCCAGGGACCAATAATTTTTTTACCCTTATAATGAAAATCTTAATGTAACAAACTGTTTTAAAAGTAAATATCTACTGTCAGCAAGGAAAACGACCAGATTTTTCATAAGTTTGCTATCTTAAAATGTAAGAAATAACCTAGAAAGCAAAAATTATAAGACGGAACCTTGAGCGGGTAGCTAAGTTGGTTAGAGCAGTGTCCTGATAGGCCAATGTCAGGCATATCCCCAGTAAGGGCACATGCAAGAGTAAACCAGTGAGTGCAGAGATGAGTGGAACAACAAATTCTCATTTTATCCCCTCCTCCCTCCTTCTTCTTTCTCTTTAAATCAATAAATAAAAAAATAAAATAAAAATAAACCTTAAAAAATTATAAGATTGAAACAAGTAGAAACTTTAACAAGCAGCAAAACAAAATTAGAAAGCAATATCCGGGCTGCCGTATTAAAAACAAATTACAGAGACAAAATTAAGCTCCTGACCTACAGGACTTTAAAGTCAAATCTACTAAAGGTGAAACATGGGTGAGAGGAAGGACAGGGAGTGTCATGCCAATGAAGTTTTATGGCCTAACGCAGCCTATAAACTTGTTTGGCCCGCGGTATTTTAGCACACCTTGTTTTGAAGCTTGCCAAATCTCACAGGAGCCCTACACGCTGCTCAATACCAGGGTGCTGCTCAATACCAGGGTGCCCGTTTACCCCTCCACCACAACCTGGGGCCCCCGCTGGCTGGTAATGATTGACCAACAGAACTGCTTGCTTTCTCCCTGTCAACCTACCCAGGGACAAAATTCTGTTAACAGCTAGTAGTGATAAATTCACTGAACACTGCCATAGAGCCAGGGACCATTCTTAGCTCCTGACCTGTATTCGCTCATTTAATCCTCAAACAACCTTATAAAATGGGTACTATTCTCAGGTGAGAAAACTAAGGCAAAGAAAAAGAAGCAACATGCCCAAGGTTACACTGTTTAAGTATGCCTATAGAATCTATAGGTAACCCATGAAGCTACACTGGTTTCTCTCAGAATTTAAACTACCTGGATCTAAGTTTCCCACATCACATCTCCAAAAACAAGATAACATTAGCTCTCTATCCACTTGGTTAAAAATTTCTTTAAAAAAACAGGTCAAACTACTTCATGGTACATAAGCACTGTGCCATTTATAAATACAAAAAATCTCAGAATATCTTATATCCATCCAAACATTCAAACAACCGGTTAGTACATGCTTCACAGTATATACGGCCTATTCCATAACAAAATTCTCTCATTCATTTCCTATGTTATCTCTCTGGAATTAAACCAGAATAAAACACCTATAGCAATGTTTTCTAAGGATTTCTTTATTGATTGGCAACCCTCATGCACCAGAAGAAGCTGACAAGTTTTCCTTTCCTAGAAATTCTGACTATGTGAACACTAGAAGGGTACAAGATTGAAGCCTCCTACTCAGGTTTATAAAATAAGTCACATTTAAAAAACTGCAGGGAAATATAAATATTCAATCCCAGACCTTCCCCCTGCCCTGCGGCAGAAGGAAATATAATTTGGTCCTACGTATTGAAATAACCACATTATAAGAAAACAGATCCTGACTGTTTCTGGAAAAGGTCAAATTAGTTTAACAGCATAGACATGAGTTCGATAGCATAGAAATGAATGATTTGGTATGTGAATATGGGGAAGTAGCCAAATGGTCAGGTTGCAAAAGAACAAATGTGGAAAGAGAAAATTAGAAACAATAATAGCATCCAGGGATATCACTGAAAATGCATACGCTGGGAAAGTTCATTAAAAATATTTACCACTTGGATATGAGAGAAAAAAAATTTTCAGAAGTCTAAAATAATATAGCAAAAGGGAATTTTTAAATGTAAATTACATGGAAATGTATAATAACTGGTTTAACATAAAATAGCTGAAGGCCTGGAGGAAGTAAGGGAGTAAAAGAGAGCCCAAAAATTGGACATATCTGCCCCAGTTCCAGGATGAAGGAGTCACAAACCCATGGAAAGTTCGGACCCACCAGGCAGTGCACCTTGGCCAGGTCAGAGGAAGAGGGAAAACGGCCCATCCACTCTTCACCTCTCATGGAGTCAAAACTGCACTGTATTTCTCATAATTCAACCCCCACCTCCCCCTTTTTTTAACTGCAAAATGTTAGAGTTGGAAGAGAATTGAAATTAACTGAAAAAAAAAATAGTTGGGCACATTTAAAATAAAGGCTAATTCCATTCTCCCTTTTTCCATTTTCTCTCTGAGGAAACCAAGGCAGCTTGAACCCACACATCCTGGGTGATACAATCTGAGAAAAGAGTATCCCTGCTTAATAAAGCATTTCTCTTATAAATCTGGTTATCTACTGTCATTGTTATTGGTTTTCCTAAAACACGTTACCATAGAAAAAGAAAGACGTCACCTGATGTTTAGCCCTCACATTTTACCATATGGACTTCGGGGAATAGCAGGAGTCTTTCTTCGGCTAAGTGTTTCCCCTCAACAGAAGGAGAGAGAGAGGAAGTTCTCTCCGCTTAACATAAAAAGGTAACTCAGACTAACCTTCCTCAGGACAGAACTATGAAAGGTGCACACAAGTTCCCTAGACTCTTGACTCTGCTGGGTAGTGAAGAGATTCCGGAGAAAAGCACTGATTTGGCGTTCCCCGTGGATGGAAAGAAACACTTTCGTCTTCTACCAAGGTCTCCTTCTAGAAGAAAGCCCATAAATACGAAAGACTGCCTACGGTCGTTTCTATGCCAGGACAGGAATGAAGTTCCCACCGGAACGCCCTCTTCTCGTCTCAAACCTCTGAACGCTGGGCTTTCTCAAACCTGTGACTAACCACGGGCCTGGCCGGGGCCGGCAGCCGCTGGAGAATAATAGTCTTTTGTTAGAGACAGTGGCAAGGAAACAACACCCTCCGGACAGTTTTCTTTCTCTTCTAGACACACATCCCCTCTTTATACCCCGCGCCAGCGGTTACTGCAGCGCAGTTTCTCCTCGTCTGACGTAAAACAAAAACAACTTTTCACCTCCTCGCCTTCCCCTTGATCTCGCCACCTAGTCGCCACCGACGGTGGATTCCAGAGGAACTTCAGAACACCCGGGGTCTCTCACCTGATTGGTTACTTTCAGGAAAAAGATTCCAAACTTCACTTCTGAATCCCCCAGCGGTGTGACAAAAAAGCAAAATCACCGCCTTTTCCTGTAGAACTGAACACTCCCCATCTCTTAATCCCCGCGCAGAAGGGGCGGGCGGAGGCCGAACCTGAACATCCCTCCCAGCCCTGGGCCGGGAGTCGAGCCTCCGGGAGATCTCCGCTGGGGCTGCTCCAACCCAGCGCGGACTCCAGGCAGGGACGTGCCCGGGGACCGGGAGCAGGTGGGGGCCGGGGAGGAGTGTGAGCGCGCCGGACCCGTCGGAAGCCCATGGGTGCAAACTCTTCAGGTCCTTCCTGCGTCCTGCTCGTTCCCCGGGGGGCGGCAAGCATCACGAGGCCGCCCAAAGCCCTCAGGGACCACGGCGGGCATCAGCAGAATGCGGGGCTGGGGGCGGCGGTGTCTGGTCCCCAGGTCCCGTCCCCGCCCGGCTCCCAGTCCCCCCGCGGGCGGCACTCACGTATCTCTGCACGAGCGTCCGCACGAGGCTGCAGTCCATGGCTCCTCCGGCCGTGCCTGCCCGCGCTCAGCGCCTCCGCGCCCGGCTCAGCGCGCCCATGGGCCCGGGCCCGAGTGTGGCCGCGCGCCCCCGCCCGGGTCACGGCCTGGGCGCGCCAGGAGGTGCGGGGGGCGGCCAAGGCCCCTCAGCGCTCATGCCCGGCCCGCGGCGGCCGGCGCGGTGGTGGCTGCTCCGCGGTAGTGGCTTCGCGCCCGGGCTGCTGGCGGGGCGGCTGCGGGCTGGGAGCGCTGCGGCCCGGCCGGATCCTGCCGCTGCTCTGCTCCTCAGCTCCGCTCCGCTCCTCTGCTCTCTTCCCCTTTTCTCCCGGGTCCTCCGCCCGCCGCACCTCTCAGCCCTGCCTCCGGCCGCCCGGTCCCGACGCGCACGTCACTAGCGCGTTTGAGCATGCGCCCCGCGGCCCGCGGCCCCCGCCCCGCCACTGTCGCCCTAACACACTTAGGCACGCGCGTGCTCGGGTCACTGCTCCCTCCCTCGCTTTGCCGGGTCCCGTCCCCGGAGCCGGGGAGAGGAGAGGACCCTGGGGTGGAGGGCGGAGGCCCTCAGGTGCGGATGACTCCCTGTTGCTTCCGACTCCGGGCGCCCTGGCCCGGGTGCCGGGGTGGCTGGGACTGAACGCTCTGCAGGAAGGATCAGGGCGTGGGACTGTGTGCCAGGCGGAAGCCCCCGTCGGCCAGCGTACCGGGCCTCTCTCTCCCTCCGACCCGAAACTTCAGCCTCTCCCCAAAAGGCCCAACAATGGGAGCGAGATCGCGGGAGTACCGGAAGGGTGCCCGCGCGGCAAGGGAGGTGGGGACCCCTTAACCGGGGCTGGGGTCGCGTCTCCGTGGGAGTCTTTCGTGTGGCCTCTCCTGTTTTACAGGTAAGACAGGAGAGAGGTGTGCCTCAAGTGGCTGCCCAGGGTCGTGCAGCTTTTCTGCGCTGGGGCGAAAGTAAGCACAGGGTCTCCCACCTGGGAACCTTGCTCCTTTCTAAAACACGACCGGATCCATAGCCCTGGCCTCCTGTCCTAGGTCTTCAGAGCTGCGGAGTCACAGACACTTGTAATCCTGCGGGAGTGAGGGGTTGGAGTCAGCCTTAGAACCTGTTACGCCAGCCCCAGCGGGCAGCTCTCTCCCGGTCCGGCAGGTCCAGTTCTTGTCTCCGCCGCAGGCTCCGCTTGAGCCAGCGACCAGGAGGAGGCCAAGCCCGACCGGGCTCGGGGGAAAAATTCCTGCCTTACCCGGCCTCCAAATCCCGGGGAGGGAAGCAGGGCATACACTTGGTGCTGCTAGCTCTGAACCAAGCAAGGAGAACTGTTGCATCGCACAAACACCATGATTTCAATCATAGGGAATGTTTCTGTTTTCCCAACAGTGAAACAAACTCCCTTCTACTACACAATCGGCCTTGAATTAATTGATATACACTGTTTCCAACTTCCCTTCTCCTGGTGACAGCACGTCATCATTTGTGAAACCGGAGAGGCACAACACCTCCTTTGGCCGCCTTTAAGAAGCGCTGCCCCTGACACTGGCAGAAATGCAATTGAACGTGAATGTTCCCCTGACTGGCTGTGGAAGAGCATTATTATTGGACACTTTTTGGATTAGACACAGATGACTAGAAATAAGTACTAGTGAAAAGTAATAGTCACTGAACTATCTGGATTCTGAACTACTGTTCTTCGGTAAAATGCTCCAATTTTTGGTCAGCTAACTCATTGATTCCCCACTCTCTATCCAAATATACTCTCTGCCTTCTCTGTCCTGCTCTGCACCCAAAAGGCCTATGGATGTCATCAGTGGCTCTTCACCAAAAGGAGTACCAGCTGCAGGTTGGAGACCAAGGAGAGAGAGGCTGGGGTATTTCTTCCCTCCTCTCTGGCCTTGCTGCATCCTGGGCCTGGCAGTATCTGCGTGCCTCTGTGATGACAGTTCTGGTGGGCTTCCTTTTCCACGGCATCAGCTCGTGTCAGGCTCCAGGATCTCCCCCATGCCTCCTGAGGCCTGGCAGTGGTACCCCAGGGTAACTGGCTGTCCCTGGGTAACAGCACCCTTTGATGTGTTGTTGAGCCATAACTGCACTTACAGCAAATGACCCCTTCATCACAACCTCTTCCAAATCTTCTCCCAAGAATGCTTTCTGCCTCCTGCCAGGACCCTGACTGCTAGAGCTGGACGTTGACTAGACTTTGTACCTTTGCAAACTGTGACATTTGGATGGGGAGTGGGAGGGCACAGGCAGATTTCAGTTCAGGCTGCCGTCTCTCAGGATTGTCAGTTTCATTCAACGGTAAGTGTTCATTCCACATTGTAGTAGACACCATGGCTGCCAGTGCAGCAACCGTGCCCTCTTTTTCCGTGCTGGCAGAAACCCACCTTGGTCCAGCAATCCACCTTCTACCTGGCTACGGTAAACTGGGTCATGTAAGCTAATCTTGGTAACTCCATTTGTCTTCCCAAAATTGGTTTGAAACAAGTTTAAGCCAAGTTTCCTTGCTCTTAAAAAGGCACATAAAGAAGGAATACTCCTGCCCCGGCTGGTTGGTGTGGCTCAGAGGATTGAGTGCTGGCTGGTGAACAAAAGGATCGCTGGTTCAATTTCCAGTCTAGGGCACATGCCTGAGTTGCGAGCCAGGTCCCCAGTAAGGGGCATGCAAGAGGCAACCACACATTGATGTTTCTCTCCCTCTCTTTCTCCTTCCTCTCCCCTCTCTATAAATAAATAAATATTTAAAAGAAGAAGAAATACTCCTTGTGTCCTGTTGGATGTGCTGTCTGGCTCTTTGAAGCCTTCTTGAGTCTGTGACAGGAGGTAACCCAAGAAAAGCCCTCACTCTGGAGATGGCACCGTGGAAAGCAGGGAAGAGCACGGATCCTCAGTGACACCATTGGGCCATTCACCAATCCTACCACAGCCCTAACATGGAATTTCATATCATGAGAGGTAATAATATCCTTATTAAGTTGGATTTTTAGTTACTAGTGACTGACAGCATTTTAATTTTAAACCTATGGAAACAAACCAGTTAAGACTCTATTAAAGTAACAAAAAAATCCAACTCACCCCATGAACCAGTTATTTACTTCTATACAACAAACCACCACAAACTGGGGAGCTTAAACAATGTGATTATTATTTGTGAGGACTCTGTGGTTTGGTGGAATGGTTCTTCTACTCCACCTGCTGTTGGCTGAAATTGTTCATGCATCTGCATCCTTTCTGGGGACTCAGCTGAGCCTGGAAGGTTCGGATGGCTTCAGTCACATGTCTAGTGTCTCAACTGGATAGATGGCCTCTCTCTGCCCTGTGAGTGGTTTCTCAATGTTTAGCGGTCTAGCCTGGGCTGCTTTCAATGGCAGCTGGATCCCAAGAGGGTCAAGGAAGACACGAGGCCGCCCCTAAAAGCTTAGGCTTGGAAGTCCCATCACTTCCGTCAAATTCTACTGGGGAAAGTAAGTGCCGGCCCAGATTCAAGGGAAGGGGGCAGAATAGATTTCACTTCTTCATGAGAGGAGGGTCTTGCGTATAAAGGGATGAAGAATTTGTTAGTGGTCACCTTTGTAAATAATCTACCACACACGAACGATAACGGAATGTGTTGGTGCAGTGTTGGCATATGTTGGCAATATCACAATAAGTTCAAAGTGCAATGGCTGCCAGAAATGCCTGGGTCTGCATGTTTCCTCATTCACATCCAGAGGGAAAGAGAATTTTCACCATGATTGGGACAGCTAAGTCCTGTGCCCATTCCTGGTCAATCAGCCACTAGGCCCTTGGAGTACCATCAGATGATTGCCTTAGGCCTGGGTTGAGGGAAACTCTCTGATTAGTAAATGTCTAAAGGGAGTGGAATGAACTGAATCAGCTTTGGGTCATGACGACCTATTCTTGACCCACTAACAATATGGCTGCTTCACCACAGTGGACTGATGTGATAAATCAGGAGGAGACAACGAGCAGAACACAAATCCCAAAACTTAAATGAAATCGTCTGCAGCTGAATGCTCAGGCTACACCCACACTCACACTTGGTACAGACCCATAAACACCTGCTCTCCCCTCCTCCCCTTCAGCTCAGAGGAGACTAGGATGGAAACCAGGAATCTCAGATTCATTGATTTCCAAGTGGAAAAGATTTTTTTTGGAAATAAGGGAGGGCCAAAACTGGGGCCTTCTTTCAAAGACAGTACAAAACAGTTATCGTTGCTGGACTCTCAAGTGACAAAACCTGAAGCTAAAATCGATTACTGAAAACATGAAACAGGAAAGTGTGAGTTATTAACATGTTTCATTTTCAGGTAGGAGAAACAGCAACTACTATACAATCGGGGGCTTAGCCTCCTCAAGTAAGTAGTCTTACTCCTTCTAGCTGCTGGAGCATTCTGTACACCTTCTTGGGTCACTGTTACAACAGATTCAGAATTATATAGGTGCCATCTTCCCATGGCTGGTTTTAGAGATCTTCAATGGCAGGAATTCTACTTCTTGTACCTGCCACAGGCTACCCTCTCACCTCCTCATCCCTTTTGTCTGGCATCTTCTACCCCACCTTTTATTTGTCTCACAAAATCCTACTCATCCTTTAAGGTCACACTTGAATGTCATTTTCCCCTATATCTTCCTCAGATCCCTCTCAGTTCTAGTTACTCCCTCCTTTAGCACACTTAATGTACCACTTAGTGTCACTTAGTTATTTATCCAAAACAGTATTTCTAAACCCTGATTGTTGATTAACATCACCCAAGGGGGGGGGGGGATAAATAAACTAAATCACCCAGAGAGAATTTTTTTAAAATAGCAGTTTCCCTGGACCCCTCCTGGCAGCCTAGAAATTTTTTATTCAGTTGGTCTAGGTTGGAATCCAAGCATCAGTGTGTTTGAAAAGCTCCCAGAATCAAATGTTGAGACCCACTAATCTAAATGTTGGTCACCTGCTTTGAGTGTGATTTGTTGAGGATGACTTCTTTAATTGACTCTTATTTTTCTCCCAAGGGCATAGCACACAGTCCCTTGTACCCCTAATAGGTGCCCAATAAATGGCGAGAGGATTACATACCTAAACTGCTATTGCATCCACTAAGCATTATTATGATAGAATAAAGGAAGGGTGCAAAGTTTTCGCATGTGCAGGGAGAAAAGGTGTACAGCCAGAGAAGTCAGTCCAGAATGGATACCTGTAACCCTGTAGGAATGCTGTGGGGAACGAGGTCTTGGGTAAGAAATGTCCCTGAGGTTATCTTACTCCGCAATGTTCCGCAGGCCCATTTCTCCTGGAATGTGATCAAGAAACCTTGCTTCCCACACCTGGGAGGAGCTTGTGGGACAGTGTCTCTGAGTTACTTTTGAAAGTCTAGATTACCTTGGTCATTAACCCAG